CCGAATAAGGGAAAAACGGCTCCTTACGAAATGTTTTAGATGCTTGGAATTTGGTCATATCTCCACTACGTGTACAAATAAACAAGACAGGTCGAAACTATGTAGAAGATGCGGAGCTGGCGGACACATAGCAAGGGACTGTAAAAATAATCCAGAATGTATGTTCTGCAAAGAAGTGGAAAATGCCGATACAAATCATGTAGCTGGTAGTGGAAGATGCCCTGTCTTTAAAAAGGCAATTAGTAAAATGAGGAAATGAGATTCGTACAAATAAATCTCAACCACTGTCAGGCGGCACAGGACTTGCTTTCGCAGATAATATGCGAATCTCGTGTTGATGTCGCCATTATTAGTGAGCAGTATAGAGATATGAACAGCTCTGCATGGGTTAAAGACTTAAGTGGAAAAGCTGCTATTTGGGCTTGTGGAAACAAGGCTATAGAGGAAATTTCAGAACACGAAGAAGACGGTTTTATTAGAGCTAAAATAGGAGGCATCCATATCTACAGCTGCTATGCTCCTCCAAGCTCAACAATTGTGCAATTCCAACTGATGTTAGACCATCTGCTAAGGGACTCAGATCATCATAACCCAAAAATTATAGCTGGCGATTTCAACGCGTGGGCTGTTGAATGGGGAAGCCAAAGAACCAACACCCGAGGAAGCATTCTACTCGAAGCCTTTTCGGGACGAAACCTAGTGCTAGCCAATAATGGTAATACACCGACATTTATCGCTAGAGAAAGAAATTCAATTGTGGATTTGACATTTACAAGTAGTTCCTTAGCAAGAGTTATGGAGTGGTCAGTAAGTGGACATTACACCCACAGTGACCACCAGGCTATTATATTCTCTACTAGTAACTTAGAAAGAAGACGATCCCATAGGGAGGAGAACAACGTAAACTATACAGGATGGGCTTCTAAGAGACTTGACAAAGAAGCATTTACTCAAGAATTTTTGAATTTTACAGAACTGAATGGAACAGCATCTGAAATGACGAAACAGGTCTCATTAAGGCTTAGAAGAGCTTGTGATTCTGCAATGCCAAGGAGAAGAATAACAAAGAATCGTCCTCCAAACTATTGGTGGAACTCAGAGATCAGCAACCTCCGAGCCACTTGTCTAAGAGCCAGAAGAAAGACTAAACGTCTCAGAGGTCGACCAGGATTTGAAGAAGCGTGTTGCGAATACAAATACGCAAGGAGAGAATTCCAACATGCAATTCTAAAAAGTAAGAAGAACAGCTTCAAACAGATATGCTTAGAAGCAGATTCAGATCCATGGGGAAAGGCTTACCAAGTGGTCACCTCTCGCCTTAAGGGAAAGAAAACCCCCCAACCCAGTTGTCCTAAGCTACTTGATAAAATAGTTAAGACTTTGTTTCCAGAACACATAAACTCCGTATTTACAACAAGAAGTCCATATCACGCAGAAAACATAGAGTTAACAACGGAAGAAGAACTAATCTCAATAGTAGATAAAATCGGAGATGACAAAGCACCTGGACCTGATGGCGTCCCAAACAATGCTCTTAAGTTGGCAATTAAACAATCAACTAAAACATTTGTTGATTTATTTAACCAATGCCTCAAAGAGGCAGTTTTCCCTGAAGCATGGAAGAAACAATCACTAATCTTGATTCCAAAACCCAATAAACGTCTAGGAGACCCCTCAGCATATAGGCCAATATGCCTCCTTGATACAAGTGGTAAAATACTTGAAAAAATAATATACAACAGACTACTACCAATTGTGGAAGAAAACGGAGGTTTATCAACCCGACAATACGGGTTTCGAAAGGCTAGGTCAACCATCGATGCGATTAACATGGTAGTTGAAACAGCACGAACGGCTATTGAAGGCAAAGGCGCAAACAGAAAATACTGTGCAATAATTACACTTGATGTAAAAAACGCGTTTAACTCCGCAAATTGGGGACTAATAATTAATAAACTATGTAGACTTGGCATACCGGATTACCTAACACTGATGATAAGAAGCTACTTCACAAATAGGATATTGTGCTACAACACTGATGACGGTAGCAAAATATACAAGGTCACCGCAGGTGTTCCACAAGGTTCGGTGCTTGGCCCCTTATTATGGAACGTTATGTACAACGATGTATTAACGCTGAATATTCCAGAAGAAGCAAATATAATAGGCTTTGCCGACGACATCGCGGTAACTGTTTCAGCAAGATTTAAAGATGAAGTAGAACTAATCTCTAACGAGGTAATATTAACTATAAGAAACTGGATGAAAAGTGCTGGCCTGGAGCTAGCAGAACATAAAACTGAAGTAGTGCTGACGACGAGCCGTCGGAAAAGAGAAAATATAGAAATAACCGTAGGAGAACATCAGGTTAGATCAAATACTCATCTTAAGTACCTTGGGATTATAATAGACGCTAGATTGAATTTCAAAGCTCACATTGAGTATGTTCACAATAAAGCATCGAATATTAGAGTTGCACTCGAAAGAATGATGCCAAACGTAGGTGGGCCGAAACAATACAAGAGAAAACTAATATCTACGGTGGTTAGCTCTGTTATCCTTTACGCCGCTCCCATATGGGCTGGAGCTCTTAACGTAAAATCAACGGCAAGAAAACTAGTTGCAGTTTATAGGCTATCTGCATTAAGAGTATGTAGTTCATATCGTACAACATCTGAAGATGCGGCGTATGTCATTGCAGGGCTGATACCTGTCGACATCTTAGCAGATGAAGCCAAACGTACATATGAATCGAAGAGAAGAGCAATACGGGGTGAACATGATGGTATAAACATACGAAAGATAGAAAGAGAAAAGTCAATGCGATTATGGCAAATCAGATGGGAAGAAAGCCGCAAAGGAAGGTGGACTTTTGGATTAATCCCAAATATATACGTGTGGTGGAATAGAAAGCATGGCGAAGTAAACTATCACCTAACACAGTTCCTTTCTGGTCATGGCGGTTATAGAAGCTATCTGAACAGATTTGGACTGGACGATTCTTCAGAATGCCCGCATTGTCCCAATACAGTAGAAGACCCGGAGCACGTCATGTTCCACTGTCCCCGCTATCAACAAGAGAGACAAGAAGCGGAAGAAATGGTTGGCAATCACCTAAGTCCGCATAATATTGTCGACTTAATGGTACAAAAATCAGAAAACTGGGAAGTATTAAGCAAAATGATTAAAGGTGTTCATGAGAAGCTAAGAGCGGAAGAGAAAGTGAGACGAGAAACGTTAATTGAGATAAATAGCTAAAATAAGGCTAACCAACCCTGCGATGCAATATCATTATAGACGGTCCCGCAGGGGTTTTGGATGACGAAGGGGGTGCTTTAGTCGGTAGGAATCCGACATATCCCAAGGTTATTACCATGGGAATCAAATGCAAGATTTACACCTCCTAATGAAAAAAAAAAAAAAAAAAAAAAAAAAAAAAAAAAAAAAACTAGACTATAGACTAGACTTTAGACTAGACTATAGACTAGACTATAGACTAGACTATAGACTAGACTATAGACTAGACTATAGACTAGACTATAGACTAGACTATAGACTAGACTATAGACTAGACTATAGACTAGACTATAGACTAGACTATAGACTAGACTATAGACTAGACTATAGACTAGACTATAGACTAGACTATAGACTAGACTATAGACTAGACTATAGACTAGACTATAGACTAGACTATAGACTAGACTATAGACTAGACTATAGACTAGACTATAGACTAGACTAGACTAGACTAGACTATAGACTAGACTATAGACTAGACTATAGACTAGACTATAGACTAGACTATAGACTAGACTATAGACTAGACTATAGACTAGACTATAGACTAGACTATAGACTAGACTATAGACTAGACTATAGACTAGACTATAGACTAGACTATAGACTAGACTATAGACTAGACTATAGACTAGACTATAGACTAGACTATAGACTAGACTATAGACTAGACTATAGACTAGACTATGGACTAGACTATAGACTAGACTATAGACTAGATAGACTAGACTATAGACTAGACTATAGACTAGACTATAGACTAGACTATAGACTAGACTATAGACTAGACTATAGACTAGACTATAGACTAGACTATAGACTAGACTATAGACTAGACTATAGACTAGACTATAGACTAGACTATAGACTAGACTATAGACTAGACTATAGACTAGACTAGACTAGACTAGACTATAGACTAGACTATAGACTAGACTATAGACTAGACTATAGACTAGACTATAGACTAGACTATAGACTAGACTATAGACTAGACTATAGACTAGACTATAGACTAGACTAGACTATAGACTAGACTATAGACTAGACTATAGACTAGACTATACTAGACTATAGACTAGACTATAGACTAGACTATAGACTAGACTAGACTATAGACTAGACTATAGACTAGACTATAGACTAGACTATAGACTAGACTATAGACTAGACTATAGACTAGACTATAGACTAGACTATAGACTAGACTATAGACTAGACTATAGACTAGACTATAGACTAGACTATAGACTAGACTATAGACTAGACTATAGACTAGGCTATAGACTTGACTATAGACTTGACTATAGACTTGACTATAGACTGGGATATATAGTTTTTTTTTAATTTTAAAGTATCGAAAATGTAGCGGTGGTACCGCGGTATTTTTCAATATCAAAAAGTACTGGTTTAGACATCATCCTGTAAAGCTGGTTTTTTTTTTTCTTAAAACCTATAAACACTGACTCTAAGTGACGATCTCTGTCGCAGAGATAATTTTAGATGATAAACAGCTTGAGTGCAAAACATTTAATCAAATTTAATATAATTTAATGCTTGAGACACTTTCTGAGTGTTTTATTAAATAAATACATATTTGTTTTATCACAATCTACAATAAAAATACATAGATTAAATAGAACAATTAGCTCCAAACATTTGTTAGGTTTCTTTATTAAGAACATTTATGATCAGTCTCTTTAAATAAATCTAAAACAATGGATCGTTGGCAGCAGAAAATCGCTGTAGTTACTGGTGCCAGTTCGGGTATAGGCTGGGCCATAGCTCAGGAACTTTTAAAATCTAAAATAAAAGTCATAAATCTATCGTTGACTTTAAAAAGTGAAGAAGAATTAAAAAATGAATTGAAACCCCTCGAAGAATCAATATTCTTTCAAAAACAATGTGATTTATCCAACCTAGAATCTTTAAAATCCGCTTTTTCTTGGATTGCGGAAAAATTTAATAACAAGTTACATATACTAATCAATAATGCGGGTATGTGTGAATTTTCGCGGATCCTAGATGAGGGAAATGAAGAATCTCTTAAACGTATGATTGATACAAATCTAATGGCGGCGGTCTTTTGCAGCAAAGAAAGCTATAAATTAATGAAAACTGCAATGGACCACGAAGAAGAATGTCATATTATTAACATATGCAGCCTTTTGGGTCATCATATTATGCCTCATATACCCGATTGTGGTTTTAATTTATATCCCGTTGCCAAGCATGCTCTACGTGCTACCAATGAGGTTTTGAGAAGAGAATTATCGGGAGATAAGTTAATACGTTTGTCGGTAAGTTTGAGAAGAAACAAATTTATACATTTTTTACTTAATTTTTAACTTTTAGTCCCTTAGTCCCGGCATAACTGCTACAAAATTTGGTTCTTATAGCGAAAAACCTTCACATTTGCAAAATTTACCCGATTTTCCCCAACTTTTGCAGCCTCAAGATATCGCTAGAGCGGTTAAATTTATTTTGGAGTCACCTTTACATGTCACCATAGCGGAAATGTTAGTTGTTCCCACTTCAGAGAAATATTAAAAACTAAAATCATGAATTCATAATGGATTTCTTATAAAAATGGTTTTCCCAGAAATTCCCAAATAAGAATTGTAAATCCCCAGTTTAAAAATAACTCTGAATTCAAATAAATTCTGCATAAGCTGCCTGTAAAATCAACAAATAAAAACAAAAAATATTCAAAAATTTTTGGTTTCCTTTTCAAAATTCTCAAAAAATACTCTATTCCTAATAAATATCTAAAACAAAATTATGCAATCTGTACGCAAATTACGTCTACCACCCCTCAACTACTGGAAACAACAATATGCCATTGTGTTAATGTCCCACACCAAGGCTGGCTATCCCATAGTTCTATCACTACTCGACATGGGCATGTATGTAGTGGCCGTTTCGCCACACTTTAAACAAAATGAAGTTTTACGACACCTCTTGAGTAACGAACAAAGACAACGCTACTTCACCAAACAGGTGGATCTGCACACTATAATGTCTATAAATATGTTAATAATGGAATTAAAATTGGAAGCCAAACAAGTGAAACTCTTTTTATGTCTAATACCACAAATCAATGAACGGGAGAAGAGAGATATTTTCGAAAAAACTAGCGCTGCATTGCTGCAAACGATCTTGGAGGTAAATGATTTGGGTGTGGGTGCCCTATGTGCAACAGCCAAACGTCATGTAATCCAAGAGGATTATAGTCATGTGTGGTGTATGAGATTTCATCATAACGAACCTGATTTGGTTCATGATTATTTGGAATATTTAATGGGTTTAGCATGTGCAGCTCCCAGGAATTTGAATGTAAATTTAGTGAGACAAAATGAAAAAGAGAAATGTAATTGTATGATGGAATGATACAATATTTGAGAGCGGAAAGTATTTTGGTAAAAATTTTAAATTAAATATTTTATAAAATTTGAATAATTTTCTTTATTGCCTTTTAAAATTATTCAAATTTTATAAAAAATCGGTGTAAATATTTAAAAATTGCAAAATATAATATGCGAAATACATTTTAAAACAAAATTTTAAGAAATACAAATATTTTTGTTGTATTTTTGAGTCTATAGACTAGTCTATAGTATAATCTATAGTCTAGTCTATAGTCCAGTTTATAGTATAGACTATAGACTAGACTATAAACATATATAGTCTATACTTTAGTCTATTCTATAGTCTAGTCTTTAGTATATTCTGTAGTCTAGTCTATTCTATAGTCCAGTCTGTAGTCTACTCTATAGTCTAGTTTATAGTGTAGTCTAGTCTATAGTATATTCCATAGTGTAATCTTTAGTGTAGTCAATAGTCTAGTCTATAGTATAGTCTATTCTATAATCTAGTCTATCTTATCTTTTGTTTAGTGTATAGACTACTTTAAAATCTAAAAAAAGTACTCTTTTGTACTAGTTCAATTTCAATACTTAAATTTCCCATGCCTGTTATTTAATATCGTTGAAAAGTTTTAAAAACAGCCGTTTGACAGTCGATTTTAAGCCGCCGTCGTAAACTTTAATGCTAGCCGCCTTCGCTCTTTATGTTTGTCGGCGCAGATCTCTGGTAAATGGCGTTTTTATAGACGCTTGTAGTAAATATTAAGTAAAAATTTTAGCTGAAAATTAGCATCCAAAATAGAAATAATAAAGTGTGGCATAACATAAACAAAAAAAGGCGAACAACACTTTAAAAATGAGCGGTTTTCATCCTACCGATTTAATAAGGGAAGTCAAGGCAAGACCGGGTATTTATAATAAAGATTTTTTAGACACACCACCAAGGGAGCATAAACGTCGTCTATGGCTAGAAGTGGCAGAAAATCTAACACCGCCCGAGGACTGGGAATCATATACAGATGTGGAAAAGGAGGCTAGAGGTAAGCGCAGCTAAATAGATGCCAAATTTAAGTAATAGTTGACAAACGTATTTTTCTTTTCCAGTGGATGAGATATCCACCAAGTGGAAACACATGAAGGATCATTTTTATCGTGAAATCAAGTTGCAGGAAGCGGGTGAGGCCCATAAGAAACGCAAATATATATATTTTGATGATATGGAATTTATGCGTCCCTTTGTGGGCTACAAATTGCCGGCACAGAACAGAAGGAGGGCCAACAATAAATCTTTGGAATCTTTAGATGATTTAGTGTCTCAAGACACCGATGACTTGGATATGGATGAGTTTCTGAAGTCCACCGACAACCTAGACTCTAGACCCAATAGTTCACAGCAAAAACAACTGCCGAGACGTTCACCTTTAAAAAGAGCGGCAAAGCCTACACCTAAAGCTCTGCAAAATAAGTCTAATATTAAACCGGTTAATGTTATTAAGAAAACACCAGAAACGACCAATAATCCCAGCTTTAAAATACGTGATGGTGACATTTCCTTCTGTCTCTCACTAGTACCAACTTTACGCAAATTGGGCGATGGTCGTAAATTGCGAGCAAAGATTGAAATACTTAAAGTGTTGCATCGTTATGTGGAGCATTTGGATAGACGTAATTTATTGAATCGTCAAAATCATAATAATTCCTCACAAAGTGCCAATAATATAGAGGATGATATGGATGAGGATCATTTAGAGGAATATGATGACAATATTGTTAAACATGAAGAACATGATGATCCTTTAAATGGTGGCGCAAGAGGAGGAGGCGGTGCTGCCGGTGGAGGTAATACCAAAACCTGGTGGACTTAATGGGACGGTAGAGGAGTGACACATAAAACATAGAAAAATGTTGAAATATGAAATTAAGTTAAGAATAATTATAGCGTTAACAAAAAGCAGACAAATATGCAAAAGTATGTATATGATTTTTAGGAAAACCAAAGGACAAGTATTCAAAGGATATTGTGGAATTATTGAAAAATTGTGCATATTTTTTGGAAACGCCGGAACTAAGCAGTTCCGTTTAAAATTAAAATCTAAAGAAATAAAAAGAAAAAAAATATATATATATATATTTTAATTTAATGAATTTTGGAAGAATTTCGAAGGATATAGAGGAATATTGTACTTAATTCTTAACGAATACAGGTATTAAGAAGATACTACCGCATAATATTCCAATCTAAAGAAATTAAAAGAAAAAAGTATTAAATTTTGGGAGCTTATTACAATTACTCATCAACATTATTAGTGTCACTCATCTCATCCCATTCAATCATTCTTCTCATGTTGAGTTTGACCGAAGATTACAAGCTTATCCCATAGCTTGTATTATGCGCAATTAGTATAGGTTACTCTCAAAATCAAAAGTATTTTTATTTAAATTAAATTTTATACATTTTCGGTCAATCTAACATTCTAATCATCATTCTAAATATACTTAACATAAACTTAACTAAATAAAGAATTTTTATTTCATGTTTTTTTTTAACCCAGATTTTAAGTTGGTCACTTTTTAACTGTTCTCTTTGCTTATAGGTTAAGTCCACCAGGTTTTGGTGTTACCTCCACCACCACCTTCACCCCCATTTAAGGGATCACCACGTTCACGTTTGACATTAATACCACTCTCTCCATACTCATGATCCGAATGATCATCAGCCATTTCCTCTATTAAGTCTGCTGGATTTTTGCTAGAGTTATTATGATTGCTGCTGTTGGCATTTGAGCGATTGATTAGACTGCGTTTTTCAATGTGTTCCACATAACGATGTAAAACTTTAAGAATTTCTATTTTGGCTCTCAATTTGCGGCTATCACCCAATTTCCTTAAAGTGGGCACTAGTGAAAGACAAAAGGAAATATCACCATCACGTATTTTAAAGGAGGGATTACTGGCGCTCGCATTAGATTTCTTTAAAACATCGAAATTCTTTATAATAGCTTCTTTTTGTAGGCGTTTGCCGCCTACCGGGGAGCTAGAGGTGGTTAGTTTATTTTGTTTGGCCTTAAGTGTGGGCTTAATTATACGTTTAGATCGGGTGCGTGTTCCTACACTAGTATTGAGTTCTTCTACATCTTCTTCTTCCTCCTGTTGCTCCTCCTCCTCGTCCGCTTTGCTGGTAGTCTTGAGCAGCGTTTCCAAATCCATATCACTATCATTATTCTCAAATTCCTCGATGTCATCTAATGAATCGTTGGATTTTTTATCCCTCTTCATGGGTGGCAATTTGTAGCCCACAAAGGGGCGCATAAATTCCATATCATCAAAATACAAATATTTACGTTTCTTATTAGCTTCGCCCGCTTCGATAAGTTTGATCTCACGATAATAGTTGGCTCTTATGTGTTTCCATTTTCCAGCTATTTCATCCACTTTAAAAGGTAAAGTAATAAAGTTTACAAGCTAGTCCCACTAAAAACAAACATGTACTTACTTCTTGCCTCTTTTTCCACATCTGTATAGCTTTCCCATTCTTCGGCAGGCGTTAAACGTTCCGCCACCTCTAGCCACAATTGATGTTTGTGCTCACGGCGCGGATGTTCCAAAACATCTCTGTTGTAAATACCCGGTCTTATTTTGATTTCATGTATTAAATCCTTTGGTTTGACACCACTCATTTTTCAAAAGTATTTTTTCTCTTTTATTTATTTGCCAAATTTGTTTGTTATTTCCACAAAAAATAAGAAATTTCCTTCAAAAAAGCTAAAAATTTGGCGTCTTTTTTTATCAAAACACTATTAAAGACACCCGAGTTAAACGAATTTTCCAACGGCGTCGGTTTACTCGAGTGTTCCGTATAACAGTTTTATTATAGAGAACATTCTATACATCTATGAAAAACATTTAATATTTCTATGGAAATATATTTGTATAACAGTTCAAAAACAATTACTATAAAAAAATTAATTTGAATTCAATTTTTATATTTTTCTATATAAATTTATTGTATAACAGCTTTTCCATGCAAATATTTTGTATCCATTCCATATTTCTTTAACAGTTTTAAAAAATTTCTGTATAATACTTTTTCCATGTATCTGTTGTACAGAAAACTTTATTATAACAGTTTCTTTATAAAAACCCGTTCAAGATATATAGCATAATTGTTCCACAACGACCCTCATAAAAAGTGCTGCTAAATTTTTTACGCAAAATGCAACTCTAATTATTTCACACCACTGTCTAACAACAAAAAAAAACTAAACAAAAATTCACCTCTCTACAGTGAACAAATCACTTTTTATCATTTTTATTCTGTCATTTTTCACGTACAAATCGATATGTTTTTACGCGTTTGAGAAAAAACCGATTTCCAACTAAAAACACTAGTGAAAATTCAAAAAAACTTGTTAAAAACATTAAAGGGTAAACAAATAAAAGAAATTTTATAAATTTATTTTGTTAACCAAGCGTGAAAACACAGAAATTAAGAAAATAAAAATTACTTTAAGAAGGAAGAAAAAAATGTTTCTTTCCCTTTAACGAAGAGTGCAATTAATGCATACCATTATATTAAAACGCTGTAAAGTGTTTTTGTCTCTTTCTCTCTTGTGGTGTTTTTATGGGTTAGAGAATCTCTGGTGTACAAAGTTAAATATGTCGAAGTGAAGAATGATTTGATTGGAAAAAAGTGGGCGGTTTGTGCTAAATGCTGGTGTTTTTTTTTCCTTCTACTTATGTTTTACAACCAGTGTTTTTTTGTATGTTTTCTGCAGTTATTTGTTTATGTGGCATACGTGGAAATATTTTATGTTATTTTGTAAATAAAAAGGAAGTGTTATAAAAATATATGTTGTGAAATTCCTTTTTAGTTAAGTAACTATTGTTTTTTTCTAAGGAAAATTTGTTGAACATTAATGTTAGTTTAATTAATTTGTGTTATTGTGTTAAATGCAAAAAAAATCAAATGTCGGTATTTAATAATGGATGAGTAAACTTTGAGGTGAATTTGTAATTTTTTGTTGTTTTGTTTTTATGTCAAATTGTTTTTGTTTTTTTCTATTAGAATTTTAATTTTGGTTTTATAATTATAAATTCCTATTATTTTCTTTAAATTATTTATATTTTTTGTCTAATTTTAATTTTGTTATTTATCATTAAAATTTTAACGTTTACCAACACTTGCCTCAAAGTTACCTCTTTTGACAGTGTGGTCAATTTTATCACAAAACAACGCTAAGAAATCAAAGTTAACTAATATCTTTACATATATTTGTTATATATTTTTTCCCTAGAAAAGGGATTTAATTATAATTTAATAATTGCACTTTTAATTTCCTTTTAAGATTTTTAGCAAGAAAATTTATTAATACTATACCCTTAGGCAAATCGCTCATTTATCAACACTGTTATTAAATCAAAAATTCACCACTACCACTTTTTTTATCTCAGTTCTCCTTTGTTAACGACATTTGCCGATGTAAAAGCAGAACAAAAAAAACGACAGTCATTTTTAGGAGTTTTGTCATAGAAGCGGCTTTGATTTATTTTACGTGTGTGTCAAGAAAAAAATGAAAAATTAATTAAATAATTAGAAAATAAAAGTAGAAGTTATAAAATAAATTGACTTTTTATAAAAAAAACAACAAATAAAGTGTAAATAATTTAAAACAAAACTTATAACAGTTATAGGCAAAAGGAAAACTGACAGAAAATTTTAGTTAGATTTCTTTAGTAATTTAATAAAGCAATTAAAAATGATTGAATAATATTACAAAATAATATTTCTGTATAAAACAATAGTTTTAAACAATATTTAGCTAATAATTTTTAGTTTTATTTAATTGTTTAATAGTTTATTAAATTTCTTTAAAGAATTTCTTAGAAATAAAAAACTACCATAAAAAATTACACCTGTATAAGTGTGTGTGTGCCTTAAAAAGTCTCGTAATAAAGAAAATTAAAGTTAATAAAGAAAAAAGTGCGTGTTACAATAACAACAACTAGAAGAAAAAAACAGTAAAAGATCATTTAAGCAGAACGTTTAACTAAAAAACATAACTACTAACATACGTACATACATACGTATATATATGCTGTTTTCTCTAACCTTATAAGAGAGAACGAGAAAGAGTACAAAAAAACACGTATTACAATTTTCTGTTGTTGCTGTAGTTTGGTGTCATTCACAGATTTTGTATTATTTTCTTCTTTTTTTTATACACTTTAATAACATTACATTATCTTTCATTGACTTTTTATAGCAATAACAACAACTTTATACAAGTAATATTAAAAAAAAGTGGAAAGGAAACATAAAAAGAATTACAAAAAAAAAAAAAAAAAAGAAAACAAACAAAAACAATATACAACACATAACTGCAGTGTGGCATTTCTCTAAACGTCAAACTTTTTCCTTAAAAAAAGAAGAGTGATTATTATAGAAGGTGCACAAAATGACTCAAATACTACCCATACGCTTTCAGGAGCATTTACAGGTGAGTTTTATTTTAATATTTACATTTCCTAACATATGTTTTTGGACAAATATGTGTAACAAAGTTAACACCCTTTAATTTTAAAAGCCAAAAATGGGAATTGAAAGTAAAGTTGTTTAGGACGGTCTATATACCAATTATAATGTGCAATTTCGGGAGGATATGTGCGGGGAAAGTAGGGCAAATAATGCTCTGGTACATCCTTGCTGCAATAAAAGGCCACCAAGGTAATTTCTTGGGATAATCTTCAAATTTGCATACTGTAGTTTGTTTGCAGAGTTTACATGTTTAAACATAAGGACTGATGGACATGCGACATTTTAGTAGAACATATGCGTTTCATATTTGTTCAATTTCTGGTTAGGATTTGCGGAAGAACTATGCCTAGTAAAATTCCGGATTATCATTGTTACAATCGATAGCTTTAAAACAAATTTTATAGAATAAACTTCAAAATTGGGAGCGATAGTTTCTCCACAATGTTTACATGGATGTACAGATGGACGGATGGACATTTCGACTATCAAATCATCTTAGATCTTTCTTGCTATAAGAAATGTCTACATAATTGGACAGAGGGATAATTGACATTGTTAACTGTCTTTATATGTATGTACAGACATACAGACGGACGGACATGTTGACCACTAACTCATTTCAGAAAATCACCCTTAATTTATTACAAACCTTAGCTTAAACCTAGTAAAACCCTTCTCCCTATTGTGTTTCTAAAAATTTATAAGAAATTTTATATCTCTATGGATTTTTATGTTTATATCCCTTGTATTAACTTGTTGCCGTCTACTTATCTTTATAAAATATATTCGTACTTGTATGTTTTTATTGTAAACTCTTTTTAAACAATCTCTACTTGCTATTTAAAAAAAATTATCGTATTAAAACTTGGGTGTATGTTTGCTCGTAAAAACAAATGGAAATAAATTATCATTTCAACTAAGCATGACTCATTTATGGTTTGAGGGAATGTATGGTTGGTTGAGTTGTTAGATATTGTGCAAAGCAATGTTTTATTTTTTCATTCAAAATTTTCTAAAATAAAACAATTGTTTTTATTTTTAGAAAAAAAAACTGCAAAATTGTAAAAAAATAGTAGGTGTCAATTATTGTGGTCAGTTTTGAGGTTTTGGATTTTTAAGGTTTTAATGAAAATTAAACCATTTCTTATATTTATGAATGAGTCATGCTTTTTAAACATTTTAAAACTAGTTTTAAATCCTGTTTAATAAAAAAATCTTAAAAAAACTAATAAGTTATAAAATTTTTATAACAAAAACTTTCTAAAAGTAAAAATTGAAAGATTTTTTGAACATATCTTTTGACTCCTTATTAAGCCAAACCTTTTGAAACCAAATTTGTTACATTTAAATTTCTTTTACTAATTTTAAACAAAATATGTATTACAACTTCTCTTATATCATGACAATTGCAAATTAACTTTACAAAAAGCCGGTGTTTATTGTTTTTATTTATTAAAACTTTTTGTTTTTCTTTATTTTTTTCCCTCCTCTTTATTATTGTAAAGTTTTGCTGTATATATAGTAAATTTATTTGTTAATCATGTTTTTTTTTTTTTTTTTTTTTGAATTCTTTCATTAGTCTTTTTTTAACCTCAATTTGTATTCAATTCAAAAACTGGTTTTTAGAAAAAAAACTCATCATCAAACAGTAAGCACAATAACAATAATTACGTTATAACAAAAACAACAAATACTAAGTACAAATAAGTGAGTTAAAAATGTACTTATGTAGGTATGAAAGTACATAATAAGAAAGTAATAAAAGTGAGGGAATATAAAAGAATGAAGAAACATTTTTAACAGGGATGGAAAGTTTAGTTAGTTGGTTAGTTATAACATATAATAGTTTAAAACATTGACTTGTCTATAGTCCAGACTATAATCATGTATACAGTCTAGGCTATAGTCTTCTCTATAGTCCAGACTATAGTCTTGTCTATAGTCCAGACTATAGTCCAGACTATAGTCTTGTCTATAGTCCAGACTATAGTCTTGTCTATAGTCCAGACTATAGTCTAGTCTATAGTCCAGACTATAGTTTTGTCTATAGTCCAGACTATAGTCTTGTCTCTAGTCCAGACTATAGTCTTGTCTATAGTCCAGACTATAGTCTTGTCTATAGTCCAGACTATAGTCTTGTCTATAGTCCAGACTATAGTCTTGTCTATAGTCTTGTCTATAGTCCAGACTATATAGTCTTGTCTATAGTCCAGACTATATAGTCTTGTCTATAGTCCAGACTATATAGTCTTGTCTATAGTCCAGACTATATAGTCTTGTCTATAGTCCA